ATCGTCCCTTCTTGGAGTTGCTTCTATCAGTTGGTCCGACTCGGCCTCCTCCAAACGTCCGAAGCCCTGGACATCTAAGCTACAATTTATCTGAACTTTGAATAGCTTGCCGGCTTACTTACCGCTTAAAGTTAAGCACTACACTACACCACAGAAAGGCGAGCTACTGCATCCAGGGTAGAGAAGCCACGCTCACGCAGCTCCGACATTCCTTCAAGGAGCACAGGTTTTGGCTTTTGAGGTTCTGAGCTGACCCTAAGCAGAAGAAAACAAAGGCATAAACCCTCAACCCTAAACCCTAAACAAAACAAAGACACTGGAGGATACCACAAGAAAGCTATAGGCACAGCAACACAGGGAACGGCTCGGGGCTAGGCATTTCATGGTTTGGGACTTGGATGAGTGATAAAGGTTTATGGGCTACGGGTTATGGGAGTCGCTGGCATGTTAGGACGCTCGGCCACCTTGTACCCAAGGCCCAAAACTTCACCTCTAAACTGCTACAGTATGGACCTGATTTCAGACATTTGGGTTGATCCAGGCTCCGGTCCCTTCTTGGCCCCTTTTCAGAGACCACTCGCCACATGCGAGTCTTGCGCTGCATGCAATTGCGTACCACCGACTCTGCCTTTCGAGAACCTAGGAACTGTTTGGCATCGGGTTTTCCGAGACATCACGACTCGACAATGCAGATGTAGCTTCGTAGCTCCTGGTCAAAAGAGGCGAATGGCAGGCTGCGAAACTTGGATATACAAATGCTCACGAGTGGTGCTTCCGGGATGCGCCCCAGGAGGAAGATGTCATAGTCCAGGGCGAGTCCAAGTACCTTGCACAACATCGAAGCTCAACAGAACTGCATTGAGTCAAATCAACGTCGAGACGCGCGATTCCCTGGTGACTCGGCGCAACTTAACCCAAGACTCGAAGATGCAGAAAGGGCGGTTTGGGCTCTAAGGTTTGTGGCTTTAGGACATCTGAGGAAAAAAGGACAGCTTCAAACTGTTTCCCTCAAGGGCAAATCACTGTTGTAACCGGTGCCGATAGCTCCAAAAAAATCAAGCCGTGACATTTCCAAGGCGCGATGGTGAAGGTTGTCACGGGCACCTTGAACAGGTTGGCCCGAACAATGAACCCCTAAACACCTGAATCCGCTAACGTTGAAATTGAACGACGCGGTAGGTCCAGGCAGAACGTGGATACGAGTCGAACCTCATATGGAGTTCCGTCGTTCATCGTGGTCCCGTAGTTCAAGGATGTTCAAGGTTTGGCTTTGGAGAAGTCGCAGTGTGGAGCCGTTGCCCAGCCGAGGCTCGTGTGGTATGCTACCGACACCCTCCATCTACCTCCTACGATGCAACACATACCTATATTGTTTGAGGCCATATACCCTAGCTCGCGGATGCAATGAGGGTGTGGGTAAGAATGCGTTAAATCAAAAGACTGTTTAGGGGTTGCAGAAAGAGTGTGAAGCATGGAAACAATTGTGGCGGCCTTAATGAGTAGAGTAGTGTTTTGGGTATAGATACCATAACTTTGGGGGGACTGGGGGATAATGATAAGTGAACCACAAGGCCACGAAGCAACACCCAAAGCCTTGAACAGTTGAAGCCTTGGTACAACCGACAGAACCCACAGCAGGCCACAAAAGAATGGCATACTGAGCTCAGCCGAGAGGCCCAAAGCACGGAAAATCATACCCTAAACGCCCCAAACCCTAAACCCCTGAACTCCTAAACCCTAAAGCCCTAAACCCTTAAACCGTAAACCCCTAAACCCGAAACCCTAAAACCCTTAACCCCTAAACCCTTAAACCCTAAACCCCTTCCCTTAAACCCTAAACCCCTAAACCCTAAAAACCTAAACCCTAAATCCCTAAACCCTTAAACCCTAAACCCCTAAACCCTAGACCCCTAAATCCTAAACGCCTAAACCCCTAAACCCTAAACGCCTAAACCCTAAATCCCTAAACCCTAGACCCCTAAACCCTTAACCCTAAACCCCTAAACCCTAAAACCCCAAACCCTGAAACCCTTAAACCCTCTCTCTCTCTC